TTATAAATAGTCAGAATATATAAGTACGCAGAGTGCCTGAATTTATAGTCAGAACATATAAGTAGGCAGACTGCCTGAATTTATTTTCCAAGCTTTTAGCCAGGTCATGTATGACGCTTCTGGTGTAAGACTTCATGCTGGTCACCAGGCTGAGGGAAGAAATGGGTGGTAGCATTTTGTGCATGTGTGTGAATTTATTTCTTATCAAATCTGTTCTCATATCTCTTGAAGTTTGATAAGGACTCATTTAAAATTTGAAGTGTTTTCTATGGCCCTTAAAGTTCCAACTCAATGTTGTTCAATCTGCATGACTACTCTCTTAAACTTTTACCTCATTAATATTTGGTTTACATCTTATACAATTGTGTTTATGCAGTTACTGAATCAGATTGTTTGTGAGCTACCTCCTGAGCACCCTCTTTCCAATGCTAGACCTCTTTGAGATTCACTTGGCCATATTCCGCTTCAGGTATTTTACTATCAACAATTTGCAACAAACCATTGGCTACCTCTACATGAAATATTTTTTAATATTTTTATCTGCTTGCTAGATTGGAATCATGAATCAATCTTAGAAAAAATCAACAATAATGTTCTCAGAGCTGATGCAAAACTCTTGCATCGTCTTCAGTAACAGCAAGGACCAAGGATCAATTTTCTCTTACCTTTGTTCCATTATGAAATTGGAATGACTTCATGATGTGACAATATTATTTCTCAAACCCCAAGAATCTACAAGATGTAGTTGGTGGAGTTGCTTTTGCTTTCATTTACTCATTCAACCTTTCGCCTAGACATTTTAAGTTCTTGCTCATTATTGCCTTTCATTTCACACCAATTTTAACGTCATTTTACTCTGACATTAGTTCAGGTTCTTGCGGGTGCTGTGTTGGGATGTGTAGTACATTCGTTGCGAGATATTAATTCCAATTGAGTTAAGGTGGATGGTGATGTCTGATTTGCTCTATTGTTCTGCTAATCCCTTTTTCACTGTTCAAGTGTATTAGCATTCCTTGTTTCCTGAACATTTTCTCTGGAGCTAGTAAACCAAATCCCTTCATTCTGCTTCAGTTGATAGTCTTCTGAGGTAGAGACTTTTCTGCTTGGGTTTAAAGATGAAAATTAGAATAGACCCATATCTCAGTTTCGAATATGTAGTAGTAAAAGAATAATTTAAAGAAACTGAATTTAATTGAATGCAGCCCACAAATGTGGGATGAGTGTCCTTAATTAAGATGGTCTAAGAGAGAGATTAGTTTGGAAAATGTAGCAATGGAGTGACCTTTTATAAAGGGAAAAGGAAAACTCATAGTGTTTAGACGTTAAAATATTAAAACATCTAATTATAATTATTAATATATAAAGCATAATGTGAGTTATAATTTTATTAAATTTATCATGGTTATTAAGGCATGATTTGATTTTTCCTTTTCCATTTCATGAATTTGATTTATTTATATTTACACTTTTAAAAATATGTTTTACAAGATGAATTAGTTTTATTAAAAATATTTTAATAAATTTATAAATTTAATTATATTTTTAATATACAATTCAATTCCTGAAGTAAGAATCCTTCTACCTTTTGTTATGGAGTCTATCATTTACACGTGGTAGTTGAGATATTCTCTGTTATGGCGTCTTTGGCATGGTAGGAATGCCCTCAAGTTTGCAATGGTTGTTATATATGCCAGTCTCAAGTCAAATCTCCAATTCAATCGTATGCCCTCAAGCTTGCAATGACTGTTATATATGCCAGTCTCAAGTCAAATCCCAAGCAAATAAGTTATTTATTTTAGGTTAAAACCTTAATTTAGTCAATCTATTTTGATAAAAAAATCTCTTTTTAATTCTTCTACTTAAACAAGTTTTTTTTTTAGTGTTTTTGTTAAATTTTAACGTTAAACCACGAAAATTTTAAGAAAGAGATATCAAAAATGAGTTTTTTTTTAAGTAGAAAGACTAAATTGAAGTTATTCTTAATCTTTTTTTAATCTGTTTTTGGTTTCTCTACTTTGAAATTTTTATCATTTAATATGTCACATATGCAAAACTTAAAAGAAAATGCTAAAAATGAATCAAATTTCAAACTATAAGAATCAAAAAAAAGTTTTTTTAAGTAAAAAAATTTTTTAAAAATTTTTTTACCAAAGTAAAATGATCAAAAGAGAATTTAACCTTTACTTTATCAGGTTATAACTCGGTTCCGTACCGTTGGATAAAAGCCATCTTCTCATATTTGCGTCCATTACCTATTTTCAAAAAAAAAAAATCTTCTCATATTTGCGAAATGAACATGGCTTTGTAGCGAGAAAGGAAAGGAAGCTAAGAAACTGTCAAATAACAATACTCAATCAAAGCCCTGGTAAGCTCTCACAAAAAATCAATGACCCAGACTTTGAATTGAAGATCCACCTCAAATGACCCAAATTTCCAAACCCATGCCGACTGACGACTTTGAAGGCTCACCTCAAATGACGCAGACACGCTAAATTTCAATGCCAATACTAACCCAGTGCACAGAAGACCCAATTCTGCTCCAAGTCCAAGGAAGACCGAGTCCAATACCAATCCATTTCCCACAAAAAACGTTAGCCAGCATTAAATATCCAATGATGAAGACTTGATTGGAATAAACCACCAATGCTGCGAATTGTTTCTCATCTTACTTCCCAATGGAAGATATGAGAGATTCAACAGCAGTGTCACAGATTGTGAAGATTGTGAGGATGGTTGTTAAGTTTCATCCGTTATTGACAATAACTAGTCTAATCTTTAAGATAATATTTCTGCAGGATTGGATTGAAGAGGAGATGAACAATCACTGGAAAATTCTCAAGGTTTATTGCCAATCAATAATGAGAGCCCTGCTAGATCCAGTTACTAAGAAGATGAAGAATCTATCGAAAGCCCTCCAGATACATTTCAACAATGAAGCAGCAAAGGGTCAGCTAAAGGCTAAGTTGATCGCTAAACTTGCCCTATTCTTCGCCACATTTCTTCTACTTGATACAGAGTTGGGTTCAAATATTTATAAAAGAGGGGTTAAAACGCAGTTATTGTTTGTTGGCCTCCATATGCTAGATTATTCGAAGCTTTGGAGTGAACTTCGAATTCTTCGTGGAAGTTGTGGTTGTACCACAAATTCAACATCAAACTTCACCTTGTTTATTCTAGCTCTTCTTTTTGCAAAATTTTATGATAATTCTTTGAGGAGCCTCAGTTCTATGTTATGCATTGCAGTTTTTTTTCTAAGTCTATTGGTGGTATTACGACCACAAACAGACCTTGGGTTGTTTAGTTTCATCATTGGAGTCATTGGATCCATAACTTACAACTGCTATGAGTTCAAGTTTCCAACGTGGATAATTGCCTTCATTTGTTTTGTGTTGTTCAGCTTCAAGAGTTGGATAGATAAATATTGGTTGGATTTGGAAGAAGATCCCTCTACAAATACCACAGTTGGAAGCACTAGCGTGTTTTTGATTTTTTCATCAGCCATTGTACAAATTGCATTAGCCATCTTTGTATCTTCTGCGGTCAAATCTCCTCTGTCTGATTATAAAAACTGGTTAGTTAAGGCAATCAGCACCGTACTTTGGACTGTCCGACTCCGTAAGTTATATCCCAATCCCAAAGATAGTTCACTGCCCTTTACAAATACCAAAGGAATCAGTGGTCTAATTTTGATAGTTGTAAATGTTGCACAAGGGATTTTCATGTTTGTTGTTACCATATGCCCCGTGGCTAATTATAAAGACTGGTTATTTGTAATAATCAGTTATGTTCTTTTTTGTTTTTGGGTACGAAACTGTTTCCCCAAAGATCTATCACCTCCCTCTTCAAATACCAAAGGAATCATAGGCATGATTTGGTCTTTGTTATCTATCACCAAATACAGTATTATGGTGTTGGCTGGTTTAGAACCTCGTGTGTACTACAGAGAATGGTTAATTACAATTATATGTTATGTGCTTTGGTGGGTTCGATTACGTTCATCCTTTCCCAAAGATTTGTTACAATTCACTGCAGTTGAGTTTAAAGCTCTACAATGGTGGATGTTGGTGTTATATTCCATGATTTTAGATATCATATCTTGGATCCAGCTGTTTACAACAGCACATCAACAACAAGGATGATAATCTTGCATGCTAAGTAGTAAGTACTTGGGTTGATATATATAACAAAAAAGTAGTAATTACTCTGATATATGAACATTTTTATTAATTTCTGTCATTTTTCCTTTCAAGTATATGTTTATTATATCCAATATCCTTATTAAAACTCATTGATCATCTGTAATCTTTTAGTTATTTATGTTTTTTGTCAGTCATTTCAAAAGTGTTTTGGTTGTATTACAATTTACAGAAGCTTCTCATTTTAAAATAACACTTAAAAAGGTGTTTTCAAAATCCTCTCTCCACAATCTCTCCTTCCTTGACAAAAAGGAAATGCGAAGTGCTTTTCAATGATTTTTACCATCCAGGGCTAATAAGATTATTGTATTATGGATCAGACTTTTGTCATTTGACAAAGTATTTTGTTTTAAATGAGCACAATTTAATGTAGTTAAGTCCTCTTGAATGCAGACTCCCCTGAAGTTGAATCTGCTTTCAGCAGAGTCCAGAATAGGCAGCGAAGAGTGCAAAGACAAACTTCTTAGCGTTGAGGAGCACGTTCTGCTTGATATTCGGCCAGATCATCACTACAAGATTGTGTCTATCCCAAAATCATTAAATATTCCGCTTTCTAGCCTTGAGGTCAGGTTGCCTGAAGTTTCATCAGCATTGAACGAAGAGGAAGGGCGCAAAGGTAAGAATTCTGGGACGGGTGCTAGCCTATACGTAATATGCAGGAGAGGCAATGATTCGCAGAGGCTGTCCAATACCTTCACAAGATGGGTTTCACATCAGCTAGGGATATTGGTGGTGGTTTGGAGTGTTGGACCCATGATGTCGATCCCAACTTTCCCATGTATTAGAACAACATTAACTACAACATTTTTGGCTTACTAGTGCTCCCCTTTTCCCTTCCCCTTTTTCTGTCCAGCATTTTTTATTACAATTATTGTGGAACTGAGAAGCTACAAACTATTGTGTAATATTTACATGTCATTTTTAATCTATATTTTAAAAACTTCAACGTATTGAAATGAGCAGAATATTTGTTGCAATCAAGAGCAACGATGGTTTAAGGAAGAAATATCTAGACCGTACAAGCATCTCTCTTGACCATGTATGATTTCTTGACTCATAAAGCATGAGTGGAAAAACCTTTGAAATTATTCCATTGTTTATAGTAATATGACTTATATAAGCCAAATCATAAGAATTCCAAGAAATTTCAGATTGTCCACTGAACTTTAAAACAAACTCAAATTTTGAAATTTCTTTCGAACAAACCTTGTTCCTGGATTAGTTGTCAACATCTTAATCTGAAGATAACCACAAACTCACCATCCCACAAGCAAGAGTTTCAGAAGAGCCATCCGGATATAAAGACCATTCTTTGCTTGTCTAAAATAGGCAGCCCTTGGATCAGTGTCAACATCCACAGTAATCTGCATAATATCAAAAAGAGATAAAAGAGTAAATTAATTACACCAAAGAAAAATCACGAGGATTATGTCTGCATTGACAAAATGCCAGATGCTTACCTCATCAAGCCTTGGAAGTGGATGCATGACCACAGCATGCTTCTGCATCACCTTCATCACATCCTTATTCACTATATACTTACCTCGAGCTTCTTCATAAAGATCGATTCTCTCCCCAAATCGTTCTTTCTGGATGCGAGTTTGATACACTATATCACACTTAGACGCCACTTCCATTAAGTCAGCACTTTCTTCCCATTCCACTCCCTTCGATGTCAAATAATCTTTGATGTCATCCTGATGCAACAGAATCAAAATAAGCACTCTGACTAATCATACATTACTAATTGCTCTGGAGGAAATACCAACAAAGCAAGTGATGTTTATTTTTTATCATTACATGGTTATGCTTGATCGTACATACAGGTCAGGCATCTCAGTAGTAAAGACTTCTGGAAACTGACCTTCATTTTCACTACATCAGGAGAGACAAAGTAGATCTTCACATTTTGGTACTTTGCAAGCAAGTAGGCAAGTGAACGGACTGTTCTTCCATTGGCAAGATCCCCAACAAGCCCAACTTTGATGTCATCCAATTTCCCTATTTCTCTTTCTATGGTATAGACATCCAAAAGGGCCTAGACAATGCACAAAATTAAGAAAGAAGTAACTGGATAAGACAAGAACAATAGAACAAGCTAATGCCTTTTCAAGTTTCAACAGAATTTCAATAAACCATATACCCAAAGGTTTTCGATAATCTATATATCAGATGATAACTATGAATGTACATAATCAAATTGTGCTAAGTTTTGTACATACCTGGGTTGGATGTTGTCCAGGGCCATCACCAGCATTAATAATAGGAATGCTAGCTGTAGCTGCTGCCCTTTTGGCAGCACCACTTTCAAAATGGCGCATCACAATTATATCAGAGTAGCCTTCTATAGTTCTTATAGTATCTGCAAATCAAGCAATATAGCCACAGCCATATTGAAATAAAATGAACTCTAGAATGCCCAAAAATAAGTTAAAGATTTACCTTCAAGTGTCTCTCCTTTGGCTGCTGATGAAAACTCACGAGCATTTTCAGTTGTCAGAACTTCACCACCAAGATGTTTCATGGCAGACTCAAATGAGAGTCTAGTTCTAGTTGAGGGCTCATAAAAAAGAGTAGCCATTAGATAACCTTTAAGAATTTGACTCCCAGGTGATTTCTTTTCAATCTTCTCCATCTCCCGTGCAACGTCAAATATAGAACTTAAAACTTCTCTATCAAACTGTTGAGCTTCAATTACATCATCAAGTTGAAACTTCTTACCCACTGCAAATGATAGTGAATTTTCAAATTCCAATGCGTTGCACTTGAGTGCATTTCTTGACAGATGTTGGTTTTGATTCCATTTCATTGATCTCACCCCAGTTAAAACCCTTGAATATGCAGGCAGTTTATTGAAGAGGTGACTGCACATTAACTCTTTCTTGAAGCCTATTGCTTTAAAACCAAAAGAACCCTTGTCAAGAGTGCAAGTAGAAAACAATGAAGAAGAAGCCATGCCGCCAATTCAACAATTCAAAATGTTCTCAAGTCCCTGAAACAAAGCCAATAATTCCATTGTGAATTCAAACCAGAAGCTTAATGGATTCACATACTGAGAATTTAGTTACTCATAATAGAAAACATAAATTCTGCAAATATAAATAAATTCATGAGTTGACCAAGTTTTTAAGGCATCAGTTTCACCATACTGAATGAGTTCAATACTTTTGTAGAATCAAAACAAAGCACAGTTAGACCCACAATTTCATCATTTAATATATTATTATACATTAAGTTGAAAATAACATAAAAAGATCACAACTTTTTCACATAATCATTATGGTACATCAAAATCATCCCAATAAACTCACACCTAAAATGATTAAAACTGGAGAACCCACTTACCTCCTGGTGATTTTCATACATATATCCTCTAGCTATTTAGAAAAGAAGCACAAAATCAAATTAACTCATGCCCATGTTCAGATGCTACGAGTAGGGAATAAATCCAAATTTTAAATATCGTAGAAATATGAAGTGAAGGAACAAAGGATATATACCTGAAATAGAGAAAAAGAGTGAGGCTTTCTCCGGTTGCCGTCAAAATATGCCAATGTAGGATTACAAGGGGAATAAAGGAAGAAATAGGGCTTTAGAGTGTGGGATTAAAAAATAAACTTTTAAATATTTTTGGGAAAATAGTTTCTAATGTAAATCAGGTCGACTGATTCCTTCTGCAAGCAGAAGATTGGTTCTGACTCAAGTAAAATGCCGAGCGAATATTTTGGAAAATGATAACTCCTTTATGTTTCGCCATATCATGAATTAGATCCTAAACTTAGTTATTCTCTTCAATCTTGCCCTCAAAGCCATGTTTTTAGCTTAATTGAGCATGCACTAATATATATATATATTTTTTTTGGGTACATCAGAGAACTAGTGTCGTGTATATAGTGATAAAAAAACGAGAGTAACTTTTTTGTATGGTAAAAATGTTGATTAAGCAACTTAATAATGAAAAATACCAGTGTCATTTGATTTTTCTCTGGCAAATGGCAGTGCACTTAGGTGCTTTTCTTTCCTTTTTTTTTTTTTTTATCAGAATCGCTAGTGACGTTTAAACTTCATTTCTTATTTTAATTTTGTCCTCAAACTCAATTTTGAGTTGATTAAACGCGTATACTACACATTTAAGGGCTTAAACAGCCCCAAAAAATAACTGGAAAAGGGAAGAAGAAAATTGAAATGATAGGGAAAAAGAAAAGAGAGAAAGTGAGAGAGGAAGGCAGAGGAGAAGAAGAGAAGATAAAGAGAGAAAGCTAAAGAAGGGGAAAAACGCTGGACAATGCCAAAAACACACAAGACGCTCCAGAAACCGGGAGAGTTCATGGGTCTAAGTTAGCAATTTTATTCCTACCCAGAGAGAAAGCTAAAGAAGGGGAAAAACGCTGGACAATGCCAAAAACACACAAGACGCTTCAGAAACCAGGAGAGTTCATGGGTCTAAGTTAGCAATTTTATTCCTACCCAGAAAAGCTGCTTTTGCATAGCCAATAAAATCACAAACAGGATCAAAATTGAAATATTCTTTAAGTCAAATGCTCTTCATCGTAAAAATATGAAATATTTTGAGTCACCATCAAGTTTATTCCAGAACATAGATATGCAAAAGCAAACTACAGATACCTAATTCTTTTCCCTGCATTTTCAATGACTCATTTTTCATTGTTTTCAGAGTTCTCTGCGTTCTCCTGCCCATAGCGACGGTTAAACTTGGCAATCTGTCCTTCACTTGCAGCCATCTGGCGTCTTGCCCTGAAGTGGTAAACTTTACCAACATGATGGATTTTTGTCATCATAACATGCATCAATCGCCCACTCTGGGTCACATACGATATCCACTGCATCTGAGGGTGCAATCCTTTCTTCATATTTCACAAAACTAAAATCCAAATACAAAGTTAAAAACTTATTAAGAATATGATCATAGAACATACTGTTATTCCAAATACAATTCCATACATCGAATGAAAGCACTTGACTAGTATCAACTCAAAAATAAAAATACCCCTAGAGCCTAGCATTTGAAGTCAGCATTGCCATTTAAAACTGCAATAACTAGAAGCACTGGCTGAATGTCTAGATAGCTAATTTCATGAGAGGAAAAGAAACATTAGGGATTTCATGATGCTCTAGAGTCTAGATAACAGAAATCTAATTCAGGTAGTAAATGACCGCTCATTCTATGATAAAAATTCTAACAAATAGAGGAACTTAAAGTTACTGTTTTAATCTCAATGCCATTCCAATTCTTTTCATAAACAAACAAAACCCCCAGAAACTCAAATTTGGTTAGCTAATAGAAAGACCATAAACTTTGCAAATGGATATTCATTTAAGGAATATAGCAATATGACTATACTAAGACTAAGCCCCCAAAAATTAAGATTTAGCCATAATAGAAAAGGCATAAACTTTGCAAATGGGTATTCACTCAACTCAGGGAAACACCAATATCACTATTCCAAATCAAGTTCTATAGATGTCTAGAATCAAAAGTAGAAGCAGAATAAGAAAAATGAAAAATGAAGAATTATATTGGGATCGAAAACCAAAAGTAGAATACTTTTGGGGATATAAACTCATCCAATCAAAAATGAAAGTGTCTCATAGGCATTTCATCAAACAGGTTAAGAGCATGTCAGAGATGAAGCCGCAGTAAACCACAAAAATCTAGCTCAGCTCAGCTCAGTGTTCTAATAAGTAAGGTACGAACCTATTTCTTACCGATATATCTGAAAGTCGCAAAATTTGAAGCGAATTGCAGTGTAAATTTCCCTTCTTGCTCCGCAGCGATTTTGGGTATCCTGTATTGTCGTGACAATCCGGGGTAAAACAAAACTATTGTTTTTGGTTCTGCCGTCCCCACCAAAACAAAACTATTGTGGGGGAATAATATGACATCGAAAAAAAATCAAAATAATCTAACAGGTTTTTAAGAAATAAATAATAAAAGTTAAATATAAGAAACCAGTAAGGTTGAGATGGCCGAGTTGGTCTAAGGCGCCAGATTAAGGTTCTGGTCCGAAAGGGCGTGGGTTCAAATCCCACTCTCAACATTATTCCCTTTTTTGTTTTTCTCTTTTTTTTCTTTTTTTTTTTTTTAATCTTTTATTTATTTTTACTAGTACAAGTGAACTTGGGTCTCATCCATCCCGTTCTCAACTTGAGGTTATGCTATTTTGCAATGGCCCAAGGGCAGAATTTGGGCCTAAGCCCATTTATCGCTTGGGGTTCAGATCCTTATCCTTCAAAATTTTCTCACCTCTTATATCTTCAGTCCTAGCTGAAATGGGAAAGTTGTGGTGGGTTTAAAAGGGTGTAAATAAGATGTTAATTTTG